AATGTATCTATAAATATTTAGGCTCTTGATATCAAAGTGTTTATTCATGTGATCCACGACTTATTCATGATACACGGAAAAAAATAATTATATTATAGTTAATAATTGGATAAATTTTAGTTGAGAGAACAACATTTCTATTGATATAATATTTTTTTTGTTAAAATTATTATTTACATTAAATATCTTTGTTTTATTTTATGAGTATAGTAATGTTGAGCAATATAAATAGTTTTAGTTAATTCATAAATATTGTCCAAACGTTATAAATGCTTGGATGTAATATAATGCAGTATTATGTATAATAATAATTTATGTGTACATTCTTTTTTTAAACATTTCATTATTTAAGTATTAAAATTTTAATGTACATTTTTTCAATAGTCAGTCAATACTCAACTATTAACTTTATTATTCACTAAACAGTATTTTTTTGTATGTTTTTTAAATATTAAAAAGAAAAAAAATGTTTGATCAGAGCTAATTTAATATATAAACTATAATAATAATATTTAGTATATTGTGATCATGCACTATACTTGATTTGCAGCAGAGTATTTGTTAGGATAGTCATGAGAAAGTAAGGTAGGTAACGCATATAAAAATACAACTCTCTGAACACTTGAGTCCAAATTTTAATTGATAATTTATATTTTATTTTCTGTTATCTGTTCTTTGATTATTTATGAACTATTTTTGCCTAGTTGACGATATTTAATTAAATAAATAAATAATTGAAAACATATTGTTGCCATTGTCAATCATATAGTGTTGAGGTATAAAAGGCTTGTGAAATAACTGTTAGCATTTATTATCGTTTCAGAAAACACACCGTACGGTTTACTCCTCGTAACGTAAACTTTTTATATCTATATATTATTATATTCACATTTTAACACGATGGATAGTATGACAAACAAAATGAAGATTACTTCGACTTTAATTAAAACTATTTTTACAGAAAAACTCAACTGTCTATCAGTTAAAGTTTTGGGAAGCCAAGTACTCTCGAAAGAAAGAACATATATGTAGTAAGTCGATGCCAAATATTCATATTTTGACAACTGGCTGTGCGCTGTGATGGTATTAAAGTTGAACCGTCGAAGTCCCAGTGCAACAGCCACCAATAGCACCAAGGTAGTAGGTATTGTCATTCACTGATTCGATTGCCAAATTACGCCGGGCCGCAGATGAGGCAATTGATGGCCATAGTAAATGCCGCAATGATGGCCCCACCCACAGAAGTCAAGATCCCGTCCCCTCATTCCTCGTCGCAGATCTCGGATGACACCAGTAAAGATCATTCCGATTTTACCCGTCCACCCGCAAGAAGGTGTTTATCAATGCCGAATATTTCAATAAACTTGCCGCCTACAGATATTATAGAAATAGAGGACATCCCTATGCCAATTTCACCACAAATTTCTGATATCGAACCTAGTACAGTAGTTCCGCCTGTTAGCAAACCTAAAAGAAAACGCCGTTCCTTATGGAATAGAACAAAAAAGTTTTTCCGTCGAATGTTATGTTGCGCATAATGCAGTTTGTTATTGTTTACTAGTAGGATATTTTGGTATGTTCTGACACCTGAGCCCTGAGCCCTGAGTCTTGAGCTCTGAGCCTTGAGCCCCCCCCTCACCAACGCCCCCCGCATCATCCATACCATCGGCCGCCGCCGTCGACATACATGTTATCAGTTATCACATATCTCATCAGTTTTATATACGTACACGACTTATATTGTTATCACACTTGTTATCAGTTATATACGTACTCGGCTTATATTTTACCGCCGTTATTGTTATCGATCATACATTTGAATTTATTCGTGCATATACATATATTTTTTGTGTATCACCTGCTACCGTATTTAAATAAATGACTATTTATACAACATCCATATTCAATTCATCGATAATCAATTAAGAACGTACGTCGCCAGAATGTCGCACACGAATGATATTAAAATGTCTAGGTTATAGTGAATAACACACATTAATAATCGATATAAAATGTCATGTTCGATCATCTCGCCAGGTTGTCGCCGACTCCCTAATCATATAAATATTCTCACAATGTATAGTTTTGGGGAAATAATATACAAAAATGTACATTAAACCTTGATAACGATCTGCTTAGGATCGTGTCGCCAGGATCATGTCGCGCGCAGGACGTCGCTGACTCATAATAGCCGCTATATATTTAATACACCTGCAAAATCCATTAATATAGAAAAATGTCTTATTATTGTCCCCATAGCCACCCCTGGTCTATAGTCTATAGATACTTGATTATACTTTATATAAGTTAAGAAAATGAGTTGGTGGCGATCAGGCAACATCCGTTTGTCACCTACACCGAGAATTTGTATCTACGCTTGCCGTATAGTTAAGTCATGTGCCGGCACACAAGTCATCCTCAATTTTGTCTTTTGAACTTGAATATATTATTATTATAATAGTTACTAGCTACTATATATTTAGATCTTGGTAAAATTTTAAAATCTACCTATATTTTAAGGAATAGCTAGGACCTCAGCAGTTAGAATCTGGTTGGCCTATGAATTCACCAAATTTTCTGTTTAATTATTTAACTATCTGATACTAATGATTTATAAGCACTTTATTGTATGTTTTATACTATCTCACTATTGCCACTATAAATGTTATAGTGCATTGAGCGAGTTTGTATGGCATCTTAATATGAATAGTAGGTATGTGATATATATAATGTAAATAATATTATATATAAATGTGAATATCAGACTATAAAATATTACTTATAGTTATCATAGTCAAGTGTTAAATTTTCAAGTGTATGGTATTGAATGTAGGTACCTACTAGTATTACTACAGTATAGGTGCCTAGTTATTATACATCTCTATTCCAACTATGTTGGTTGAAAATATTAAATGCTTTAAAAATCTCAAAATATACAGATTTAAAAAGTATTTGTTTACCTATATATAAATAGGTAATTATTTATAGGTATATATTACTTAAAAATTGTAATTTCAAACCGTTTTATAAAAATATACTTATACTATACTTAACTCACTTTTATAATATTTTAATTGACACCACTAATATATGCTAAAGGTCGGAAGTAATTTATATCAATTACATTTTCAACAATTTTATGAGATAATAATTGTGCGTTTTTGTCTTTGAAAATTGTATCTTGAATTGTTGTGTTTTGAATACATAAAAAAGTATGAAGTAATATAACTAGTAATTACTAAGTAAACAACAAAAAGTAAAGTATCAAGAGATAGGGTCAAAATACAATTTTGGTAATTTATTTGTGAAATCATAAAACACTTTTCTGACATTATTTTATCAAAAATTAAAACAAAACAAATACTAAAAATATACCAAATTATTATTACAAGTATTATATTAACAAAATATAATCAGTACATATAATAATATATTTCGTTAAAAAATTTCATAGGCAATTTTTTTATAGTTGTAATGCTGTTAGATACTTATATAATATGATATACCTATTGCCTTATGCCAAGTACATACAAAATTAAAATATTATTATTATTCGTTGTTTTTTTGCAAAAAGTTACCTTAAATTCTCTAATCTATTATTCTTTCATAACAACTAGATAATTTTTATTACACTTTTTTATGTATACATATTACCATATATTACTATCTATGAATTATAAAGTAATCGGATTTTTGCTTTCTAAGTTTAAACTCCCATTTAAATATTTAATTTGAAGTGTTTTTAGTTTAAGCTGGAAGACTTTAAAAGATAAAAATATAATGGTCAGATCAATAACTGACGTATTCTTTCAAAAAATATAGGTACTTGTAATAAGCTCATTAATTTATAAGCGTAGTTGTAAGATTGAAAAGCAATAAAATTGTTATATAATGTTAATCCAATATACCGCGAATTAAACGGTCAAGATAATAGGACATACCCTGGATTTATACAAGATTAACTCAAGTTTGTCTTATCTCCACATCAATAATTTATAAAAATCGAAAATTAAAAAAAAAATTAAACCAAATAAAATGGTATCTTGAAATATACTCGTAGCATTAATTTTAGAATATTGGTATGATAGGGATGGTAAGGCACATAATCACTGATTAGATGTATTGGGATGTGATAAAATGATAAAAAAAAGTAAAAAGTTGAAAGTGTAAAAAGTTAAAAAGGATAATAAAAAAATCAAAATACTAATAAACTTAAGGAAAATAAAAAGTAACTATATTATGTTGAATTAAACATATTATTTAAATATAAAAACATATATGGACTGATTAATTAGATAAATATTTAATATACTTAGATCTAATGTAATAATTTAATAACAGTACCATTACATGGCTGTATCTTTTAGTGCAAGAATGATTGTGTTTATAGTTCTGTTAGTTGTGAAGTCGATGAGTTACCATATAAAAATAAACTATTTAATGAGAAACATACAACTTTTATAATCATAAATTGTTATGAAACTTGTTAAATAATGATTTGCATGTACTTGAAAATGAATTAAGAAGGGAAATTATTATTATATGTTATGGATGATTCAATTTAGACCTCTATAATATTCCGTTTGAATAAACATTTGTCTTTCAAAACTGAATAAATATTATTTTATACTCGTGCTATAATTTCCTTTGAGTATGTTCGTATAATATTGAAAAACAGTTTATCTTATCTGTCAAAAGTATTTGTCTCGTATATCTTTTATTTTTGGTGAACAAAACTGTATTATTGTTATACTATTATTATATAATTTACATCATATTTCATTTTATTATATTTATTATCTTGCTTATGAGCTTATAAAAAAACAGATGATTTAATTATCATGACTATTTAGCATATAGTATTTTCATCATATATCTTAACATTAAATAATATTTATGTTTAAGTGTTAATTATTGCTACTTATTGTTTATGACTATTTTTAAAACTCAGTTCTTATTTAAATTTAACTTTTTATTTCATACACAATATTCAATAATGTTTCATAATACTTAGTCTTAAAATACATACAAATAAAAACAAAAACAATTTATTGATTTAATTATGATTATATACTCTATTGTTCCGTTTCCACTTGGTAGAATTGTGTTTTTTTCAATAGCTCAGATGTATAAATAGCAGCCTAAAACAGTTATAAAGTTATATTAAAACACTTAATATAAAGAGTTAATGTACAATGTGAGAAATTAGAACAAACATCTAATTACTACTGCTTTCGCGATTATAATATTTTAAATAAAATTATTGCCAGTAGATTATACATTTATTTGAATTAAATAAGAATATTTATAAAGTACAATAAAAATAATATAAATATAAACAACATTTAAATTGTAATTTGTTTAGTTTTATAATTAAATTTCTTTTTATTATTACTCATTAATTGGAATATTCAAGTGAATATTATATATTATTAGCATAGTTTGTTTTCAATTTTAAAGTTATTTAGGTTAAATAAAAAGTTTCCTATAGTTCCTTTATACTTTTTTCTTTAAAATTGATCAAAATTAAACAATAAATACAGGATAACAAAATTATTTCAGTTTGTAAAGTATAAATATTAAATAACAAAATATAAAATCATATCTTAACTTTATAGAAAACCTATTATATGTTAATATTTTTTAGTTATTTACATTTTTTTTTAAATTAACTATATAGGATTTTGCTTTAAATAATTTATTAATAATTTTAACTAAGTAAATATATAATTTCTTATTTTTGATTTAAGAAATTATTAAGGTACATTTTAAATATAAATAAATAATAATCTTGATTTATATGTACCTGAACAACATTGGGGCATGGATCATTTTTTAAAAATTCAATATCGTTGGTAAGGGTTTGGTGCCAAATTTCTGAAAGACAATTAGGATTTAGTCTAGTCATATGCAATAAAAGAACACATGTTCTTTCTCTTATAGATGGGTCTTCATTATTTCTAAGCAATTTATGTAGCTCAACATTTGAAATCCTACCTGAAAGGCAGTTATTATGATATTATATTAAAATATAACAATACTTTTAAATAAATATATAAAAACAATTACTGTACCTTCTAAATGTTTGCCAATAACTATATCTTGTACTAAACTAATATTGCATGGTAAATATAATAAAGTTAATATTAATACGGCAAGTGTATTAGTAACCAAATTTGTATTACCGTGACTCAACGACAAACATTTTTGTAATAGTGGTAGAATTTTCAAAAAATAGATACTCTCAGTAAATTGCTTAAGACATTCAATAGGTTTATCTAAGCATAGTCCTTCTACTAATAGAAGCACCGATCCTAAACTATCTAATTCTTGAATGCCGATATTGTCTGGTGGTACAGGTGATACACAATTACGAGCAGTAGATTTGAAAGCATTAGAAAATGCTTGCATTAAACACGGTATGACTTTAGTTTCAATATAAATCTACAACAAAAATGTAACATAAATTATACAAAAATAAATAAAATGTAATAATTATATATACTTGAGTAATTAAGTCTTTCTCAGTTTGTTGAACATTCGGAGTAACAAAAGGTATTGCCAAAACAGTAACAACATAGTGTAATAATTTGGAAGGCATGGTACCACTTTTTAAAGGAGACAATATTACTAGAATAAAACTTTTTTGAGTCATAGATGTTATATTACCAGAAACAACCTTGAAAAAAAATTATATTGAATTAGCTGTTATATACCGATTACAAAATAAAATGAATACAAATATACAATATGATATAAAAAATTAATATTATGATATAATATTTTATTTAGTTTAGTTCTCTTCACAAATTTAATAAAATTAATGGTATTAACCTAACAATTTATAGTAATTTAATTAAACCAAAAATTAATTTGATAAAAATGTATGATTTGTTACAATGTTTTATGAAAAATGAACAAGTATAAACACTGTTAAGTGAGTAGTTACATAGAAAACAATTTAAAATATTTCTGAGAAACTATACTGATGTAGTTGTTACTTGTACAATATTTTAAAGGGTGAGAGGGAAAATTTAGTAGCATGACATAAAAATTGTTATAATCTTTTTATCAAAGACAGTCCAAAGCCAAGTATATTTTAGATTTTATACTTGTTATATTTTAAAACTATAATAATAATTTATTATAATATATACTATTAATAATTACTATAAAAATATTTATGTATTAAAAGAAATCATCAAAGTTCTTTATCACCCCTTAAAACCAAAATAAGTTTATTCATATTTTATCTTTCAATTTTCTTGGGCAGAAGTTGAATCTATGAAACTTAACTTAAAACTTTGCTTTTACAATTTAATTGTAACAACTCCATTTGAATCCATTGAGTGATTTTCAAGAGTAGTAACACAAAAAGCATTTTTTATTTATAAGTAGAATAGATATAAAATAATAATAAAAATTTTACTTCAGAAGCACTTTGCTTTAGAAATACTATCCATTCTTCACTCATAAAATCATTAGATTTTGTATCATTAGTTGAAGAGTTAGTTTTATCACAATCCACATCTAACTCTTGACAAGTTTCAGAACACCAACCAGACTGACTTGAACGCAAGTCTTCTTCAGTTCTATATATATATAAAAAAAATAGGATTGTTAATCTTAAAATATTAATAATATTTTAATAATAAATACGTTTCTTCTATAGAAGTAAAATCATGACTAGTAGAACAAGCCGAGTGTTCTTTATCTTCTTCTTCTTCTTCATCTTCTTCTTCTTCTTCATTTTCTTCTTCATCTTCTTCTTCATCTTCCTCATCTTCTGCTTCCTCATTTATTTTCATTGATTTTAAGGGTGACACAATATCATCAAATTCTGTTAAGATATCAACTTCCTCATTTTGTTCCATATCCATTATATATACTTTGTTTTTTAAAAATTCATGTTCTAATAAGCCAGGCCACGTTAACCTTTGTAATGGATTTTTTTGCAACAGTTGTTCTAAAAAGTTCTGACAAACAGCTGACACAGTATTTGGCCAAATTATTGGTTGATCTTTCATCATTTGAACTAAATGCATTAAACACTTTGTATCAAATGGAGGTTTTCCACAGAGTAAATGATATGCTATACATCCCAATGACCTAAATTAATAATTGATATAAATGTAACAGTATTTTATTTAAAATAAATCATTGATTTATACCATAAATCTGCATTATGATTGTATATTGGAGGTATAACAGGAGAATTTATCACTTCAGGAGCCATATAAAGAGGGGTTCCTTTGAGTGATGCTTGAGTTAATACTTGAGTACCAGTTAACATAAACCTGGCTAAACCAAAATCACATAATTTTGCAACATCATTGTTGTCTAATAAAATATTTGGTGGTTTTAAATCCCTAAATATTAAAATTATAATTTATTTATTAAAGAGCATTGTGTTAAAAAAAAAAAAAAAAAAAGATTAATAATTTAGGTACCTGTGTAAAATATTTTTCTTGTGTAAATAATGTAAAGCAGATACGAGATGACATATAATTCCCTGTGTTCTTTCTTCACTCAATATACCTTCAGTTTCTATGATTTCTTTAAGGGATCTAGGCACAAACTCCATGACCAAAGCAATCTATCATTAAGAAAATAGCCAAAATATTAACACTATTAAAACTGGTTAGATATTTAATTGATGATAGGAAGCTTACTCCAGCTATCAACATTTTTTCTGGTTATTATTTGGGCATTATAGTAAATGTATTATGTGAGCATGAGACAAATAAAGGTTTCATCTTAAACAAATACTATTGGGTAAGTTGAAGGCAAGACATATTGTTAGTTATTTATGTTATCACTTATAATCGTACAACTTCTGTTTTGTTTAGAAGAACAGTGGCACACAGAAAATTTTTAAAAAAATATACACTTAATAAAAATATTCTCACTCAACTACCCACCTTATATAAATAAAAAATAAATTAGAAGCTGTGGTTCAAAATTATGCTTGCAAAAAATATACTTATTTAAAAATACACTTTAAATAGAATATTGCAGAGCAGCTTAGTGTATCAATAATTACATTTTTAAAAAAATTAGTAAATTATTATAGTTTATATATATATGCTTCCCCATGACAACATTAATTTACATCCACCACTTTGAGATAATGTGCAGTTGCAGTACTTAGTTTTATGTCAAAGCGCTACTGGTAGAGAGTTAAGTAAACAAATAAAACTAATATCTCACCCCATTTTCATTTCCAAATGATTCGATCATTTTAACAATGTTTGGATGGTGTAATTTTTGTTGAATTTCAACTTCTTGTTGTAATGTTTTTAATTTGTCAAGCTAAGTCAATGGACACATTAAAAAAAATATTAAAAAACAAATAAATGAACAAACTAAGCACATAACTAAAGTAACTATACCTTGAAAATAAATTTGAAGGCAACTATTGTGTTTGTTTTTGTATGCAAAGCTTTGAAAACTTTTCCAAATGAGCCTTCACCTATCTTATCGCTTAATTGATAGTTATGACAATGAGCCCAATACGCGAGTCGCTCGTCAGCCATCATCATTGGATACTGTATTTCATTTGCTGTATAAATAGAAGACTCTCGTCGCCAAAGATTACCATTCATATTGATTGATAACCAAGAGCTTAATTCAGTCATAAATCATTAGGTTTAACATTATAAATCTTTACTTTAGACAACCCCTATACAATGTACAGAAGACCCACTCCATTTTATTTTTTTTTGAGCGGGTGTTAAATTAATTATTATCATTATATATTTATATATATATAAATATAAATTTAAATAAAATTGAAAAGAAAAACTAAAAACTAATAAATAATAATAAAAATTGATAATTCAAAGTAAAAATAAAAAACTAAAAAAACTTATAAAATACTATTCGTTACAAAATCGAAAATGATATATCAGTAATATCTAATATCATTCATCGCGTTATCATTAAATTATCATTTACGGATTATACTTTGTTTTGTTAATGTTGTTCAGGACGTTCAGGTTGGCCGTTAAAACTTAAAAGCATAAAACATTTATTACATTTTATTTAGATTTTCAAAGTCAATATTATCGAATTTTGAACTAAATACCGATCCCAGTTGACCCATTTACAAATTGTATGCACATAACCAAGAAAACAATACATTTAAAAAAATTAATTTTAGAGTAGCATTTAAAGACTAAAGTACCTTGTCTTATAGTGTCCATATGTGTTAACGAGTAAACAATATAAAATTTTTGGTTTTGTTGGCCACACTGTTTAACATTCGTCTTGTTTATGCAATTTATTAATTTGGGTCTATCAAAATATAATAATATTAATAATATTATATAACAACTATAACAACCATTTAGTATTTACTGTTTACTGCTTTATTAAATGGTTTTTTTCCTAAAAATATTTTTTTGTTTCTAATCTGATTTTTTAGAAACAGAGTTACAGTTTTTTTTTTTACGCGATTTCGACTCCCGCAAGCATTGTTGTCCATTTTTGTTCACATGGTCAATAATTGTAAACTTGAGGAGTCTTAATTCAGTGTTTCAATACAACAGGACGGTATTATTCGGTTTCAAAAACGCAGATATAACAATATGAAATTCATAAAAGGAAAGAGACCTCAAAATGCCCAGGATCGTGGAGGGTAAATTAAATTTATTTATTTACTGTTCTAAGTGAATTCCAAAACTTATATTACATGATGATGAATAGTTTAAAATAAATATGCATAGTTTGTAAAACAAAATTTTCTGAAATTCCTAATTGATAGTTTATTTGTTTAATTATGTTCCAGACGTTTTAGAGTTCAGCAATCTGGTCCTCATAATCGTTTACGTGTAGCAGCAGCCAACAAAGCAGCCAAGGTGAAACGTTTAAGAGCTATTGAAAAACAGTCTGCCAATGGCAAACGATACAATAAAAATAAGATGTCAAAGAATAATGCTAGAGTAGTAATGGATGTAGTTGATGCTCGTGTTAAACTTTTGCAAAAGGCTTTAGAAAAACCAACTGTGTTAGTAGATGCTAGACAAAAGTTAACAAAACAAAAAGATGCTCGTGAAAAAATTCAGGAACGTCGTTTACATTCAACATCATATAATGTAAGTAATTGTTAATGACCAACTTTTATCATTGAAAAAAGTTGTAGTAAAATACAAAAATTACTGTTATTGAATAATTTAAGACTATAATAATTAATCAATATTCAATACTCGATTATTATCATTTGTGTTAAAATTTATAAAATTTATAATTTATTTTCAACACTTGTTTTTTTTTTTTTTTAATTTTTGTTATTGCTTGTTTTTACTAGTTTCTTTTATACCTCTTTATATTTTTTGTTTTTGGATAATGCATTTCTGGTTATGTTTATTTTGTTAGTAGGTTTGATGTATTTAATTGTTGTTAGATATTCAGACTAATTGAGTAACTACCATATTTTAAAGTTAGAAAGTGGGTTTTTTTAAAACTAATGTTAATAATACTCAAGAAGGACATGTATGGTATTTTTGAATTACCTATAATGGTTTAGTTGGACTTTATGCTTGAATTTTTTTTTTTTTGGTCTGTTTAGAATCAACTTTAGATTGATGTAAATCCTTTGTTTTGGACTATGCTTGAGCTTAAGTAGAGAACCGAATCAATATTAGTTATTAAAATATATATAATCAAACAGATTTTGTACTATAGAAAGGACATGTTCTATTTAAATTATGTATACTTACCCATAAATAATTTATCCTATTAGTGTTAAAATTGATTGCTGTTAGGTGTTCAATTTATTAACTACTATATTGAATATATTTTATGATTTATCAATTACTAGGTACTTATAAATTGCTGCTTAACATTTAATAGACAACGCTTAATTTTATGTGACTAGTTCTAAATTTTATTAAAAACTAACATTTTCATTGTTTTTCATATTAGCCAACGCAAAATATGGGTACCTCAAGAGGCCATTCCAATAACTTGGGTCGTGTAAAAATTGATAGCCGTGGTATTCTTACTGTCAAGTCTATTTTGAATGAAAGATCACTTTCATTTCATTCTGGTTACAGAAGACCTGAAAACAGACTGCCTTCTGTAAATAAAAGAAATTTTGATGGCGTAGAAAAAAGACGCAGTAGTAACACTTTCAATTCAGAGCTTAATACATTTAGAAGTAATATTTTTATAGTTTTATACTGTTTCTTTCCTTGTTAACGAGTATGTATTTAATTATTTTAGGTGACAGACCTATTGAAGACATTAGACCAGTAAGACGGGATGTGAGAATACCAAGACATCCAATACCAAACACACAATCTATAAGACGACCACCAGAGCGTCCTACAAGACCAATGCGAGTTAATGATAAACCATATAATAGACCTATGGCAATGGATTATGAGGATTCAATGGAATGGGAAGATACAAATAGATACTCTCCTACACCAGTAAATAAGAAATATATTAAACTTAAATTTAAAATGCAACTAAATGCATTTTTAAATTTACTATAGGTGATGAGACGAAATGTCGGGAACTCAATGTTCAATCATGATGGATATCAAGATGATTTATCAGATAGAAGTTCAAGGTAAAATAAATAAATATATTATTTATAACTAAAATATTAATTTAAAAATATGATCCTTAAATAAAAATGGAATACAATGATGGGAATATTTTTTCAATACTTTGGAATTATTCGAAATAATCTCAGAACTTTAGATATGAACTATTTTTCAGTTTATCAGACTATTTTACAAATCGGTTATGTAAAACTGATCAAATATATGTTATATAGTAAAATATTTTTCTAATACTTATTACTATATAGAATAAAAATACTTAAATTTTATTCAAAAAATAATTATGTTTATATATTATTGCTATTATAAAATATGAAGTTGGATTGTTTATATGGATTTTGTTATAATTGAAATGGGAGACCTGGGCACCTAGCTAAAAGAGTGGGTGGTATTAGTAATAGTATTAGTCAGTGTCGCTTAGTTATATAATGTTCTTGATGTTTTATTTTGTCTAATATAACAATAATTTATTTTTTTCAATCTATTAAGTAAATAAATGAGTGTTACAGCATTATTGTATTTATTAAGAATACACTTTGTGATATGACCTCACTTAAATAATTTAGGAGAGTATAAAATAACTAGATAACTTTTAAGCTATATTAAAAATACCGAAATTGATTTTATGAACAGCTAGTGTCTTGTAAATTTTAATGGTTTTTTTTAGTTTCTCTTAAAAATTTCTCCTAAATTTTACTAATTTTATTAACTTATTAATATTATTTATATGTATTTTTGTTATAGGAATCATAGAGGGTTGAGTGAAACATTACGTTCAAGATTGGATTCACATCAAGTAACCTCAGCTAAACGTTCACGACCTATGGGCCATAAAATTATTATTTCTAACTTAGAACCATCTGTAACATGTGAAGATATAAGAGTATGTACTCATGTTTAACATATTATTTTTAGTATTTAATAAAATAAATGAATAAGCTGATTAGAATTTTTTTGGTAGTATTTAATAATTTATTGCCAATTATTTTTGTAACAAATCTAAGATTAATCTATTTACTGTTTGTTTTATTAATTTGATTATCTATATTTTTATTTAGGAACTTTTTGCAGACATAGGGGATTTATTAGAGTCTAAAGTGATTCGACCAGGTGTTGCTGAAGTGATTTACAGTCGTCGAGCTGATGCTATTCAAGCAGTAGATGTATATCACAACCGACAGTTGGATGGGAGGCCTATGAAATGTGACATGGTGAGGAATGCTGGTTCTAACACTGGGCCAGTATCTGTATCTGGGTAAATAATCAATATTAAAAAAATAATTTATTTTATTATTACATTAAGGGGTTTATGTCACACTATTGGTCATTATTTGAAAAAAAAAACATTGACATTAAATTATATATATTTTTTTTTTTTTTAGAACAAGTCGTAGAATGCCTACACGTGGTGCTGATTTGTATAAACCATCAGCATATGTCACTTATGATATAGATGCTGTACATACTGCATTGTTTAATAAATAAATATTTGTTTATACTAGTATTAATGTATGCAATTTTACTAGATTCATGTACTATATTTTTTTATCAGCAATTTATGATTTGGTTTTTATTATTGACATTTCACTAAAATGCATATATCTATTTTCAAATTATGTAAATTTTAAATAAAATATTTAATACTCTTAACCTTGGTAAAAAAATGTTTAAATAAATTGTTTTGGAAATAATAAATACTTTCTTATTGGCCATTTAAGTAAAGAAAACTATTTATTGATTATTTAACAGTTGATTTGAGATAATCAAGATTTAATAAAGAAATAAATTTATTATTTTTGTTTTGAAATGATAAATGTACACTTATTGATTTTTTTAATTATGACTGTAACATCTTAGGGTAAATGTTAGCCAACATGGCATTGTAAAATGTTAATGTATTTACAAATATCAAGCATATGGATTATTAGAATAATTAGAATATTTATTTAATTTTTTTTATTAAGTTTTTATTAATAAATTACAATCTATAGGATTAGAGAAGAAATGAATTGTTTGATTTTTAAAAGTCAATCTTAGAATTTAGAATTTACAAGAGATAACATATTAAACTAACAATGTTTTGTGTAATAATATAATAAAATTGTTTGTAAAATAAATGTTTCTCATGTATTTTTATAATTATCTATGTTTTAAGATACATTTATTGAGTTAAGTAATAAAGTACTTTTATTAAATGAATTGCATTTTTTTAATGAGTACAATATTTATATAGTTAAATACATTTATTTATTTTAAATGTTTTAACATTAAATATAGTCATTCTGCTTTTAAACTATTTGAAATTTTGTTACTTGGTCATATACTAAACAAATTTCATTGTAGGTAGTTGGGTAATAGCATTGATTATGGAATATTCTATAATCAATTGTAGTAGGTACATTTTTTAACACAAATTAATATACACAACTACTGTCCATTGATAGCTGGTTAATTAAATTCTAGAATTTTATTATTGATTTAAGTACGTTTTATACTTTGAAAAATTATAGAAAATATGGTAGTACTTTTTGATTGTATTATCTTGGAAAAAAGACAAAAAGTTTCTCCTGATGAAATTTAATATGGCTAGTTTTGTAGATGGTTGATTTCTGGGTAATTTAAGAATTAAAAGCTAATATGGTTTTAATCTTGTTGCTGGTTTAAAATAATATCTATAAATTGAATGAACCTATCCGTTAGGTATATTTACAAAATACCTATTACTATTGTCTACTAGTAGAATTTGTAAATAACTGTGATAGTTAAAGTGTCACATTAATAAAATAATATAAAATGCTATTTTTATACATTTATTATTTAGCGCATTAATCGTTTGTGTAAACAATTATTTACTATTACTCATTCTTAAGTCAATCGCTACTATTGATTATTGAAATGTACTAGGTACCTATATTAGTGATATTTTAAAATGTTTAAACTCTAAGCTGGTTACCTAGAATGAGCAGATAGAAATGTATAATTAGAGTATTGAGATATAATTAAAGAAAATAAAGTAATTGAATAGTCTCAGACCAGGGTTGGACTGGCCCACCGGGCTACCGGGCGAAGCCCGGTGGGCCGGTGTTATAAATTGGTAATAGGGCCGAATTCATAAATGGATTATTAATATCTACATTTTTTTTGAGAAATTTTAAAAATATTGTAAAAGAACAACAATTCTTAAATTATTTCAATTATAAAAAAAAAAACAGATTTAATAATTAAACTTTCCTAATAATAAAAATAGATGACATATTATTTATCTTACATATTATGTAATAATTTTGATGATAATCGTGATGGTTTATTTTTAAATTTGTTATCGAATATAAAAAAATACATGCTGTATGTTGCGTCGAGTCAACTATTGTATTATGACGTTATGGCTATGGAAATAATTATTGTACCCATTGTACGATTCCGATTTTAGATTTCTGATAAGCGATTTCTTCGTTTCTACGTGGAATTATTCGGTCTGTTTTTAGTATTTACAATTTATTTTATTCATTTATTGGCCACGGTGTTGTGCGGACCTGCGGACTTTCCAAGTGAGCATATTACTGCATGTAAGTATCAAATCTGTTTTGTATTGTTTTCAGTGCCAGCTCGTGCATAATATGTGCGATCTACCTACCTACCAATTTATAACCTACGTTTAAGTGTATTTTGTAATTTATTTTGTACGTATGTGGTATGTCAGGTATGTGGTGTGTTTTATATACTAAAAACATTAGTGAAACCAGAATTGTTCAAGTATTTAGATTTTTGAAATATTTAAAATCTTATAAAAGTAGTTTTTATTACGTACTCGCACCATGCACTCCATATTTTAGTATTTTTAATATGAAAAAAAAAAAAATAACATTAAATTGATATTCTGATACGTCTATTGTCTTGAGCACAAAAATCACATATTTCTATATAAATCTAATATCAAAAATAAAATGTTTGTATTGGTAAATAATTGTGAACATCGAATAACTTTTCACTAGTAAAATTAAGTTTCAAAATATAAAAATAGAAATATTGAATTTCGGGATATAGAAATAATACAGTGCGATTCTACATTTTTAATTATATCATATTTATTTATATTATTATTATTTGATAGTAAAATGGAAGATCATTCGAATAACTATAAGAGAAAATCTAAAGGTGGCGCTGAAAAAATTAGAGAAAAAAAACAAAAAAAACTACAAATAGAGGCAGGCAGTTGTGTTAAAATTATAGATATGTTTCAAAAATCTTTTACTACAATAAATGCATTAAATAAAAATACTAATGACGATCTGCCAAAGCTTAAAGAAATAGATAATGACCAAAATAACCTCAAGACAAATGAAACAGATATTTTAAATACACTAAACAAGATAGATGTAATAGATGTTAAAAATATAAAAAGTATAAAAGTTGATTCTCAAAATTTAGATGTCGATAACAAGGTAGTTTCCGATGACTTAAGTAATATTACAACTAATGTTGACTTTTATGAAAAACCTTCCAAGGAATTAATTCACCAATTTTTAAATTATCACCCTTGTCAACCCAATGATATTGATTTTAATACGGATAAAGTATATTTTACAAATAAGAAAATGGGAGATACTAGAAAATGGATAAGTTATAGTCGTGATCGAAAATCATTTTTTTGTTGGATTTGTATAGGATTTGGGTTAAAAGACGATCAAAGTATTTTTGTAACTGGTTATAGTGGTGTAACTAAGCATTTTTATGACAGAATTAAGGAACACGAAATTAGCAAAACCCATATTAACAATTTAGAATCATTTTTGATGTTTGAAAGCAATAAAGATATCATAAGTTATTTCAGTAAAGCAAGAGAAATAAAACTCAGAGAAATACAAAATAATAGAAATATTTTGGAACGTGTTATCGAGACAATCAAAATGATTGGCAAGAGGGGTCTTAGTTATCGTGGTGCTAATGAAGCAGCGTATACTTTGGATAATAATTCATTAGATCATGGAAATTTACTTGAAATATTAATGTTAATTTCAAAATTTGATCCTATACTAAACAACCACGTGCAAAAATGCATCGATAAGAGTAAAAAAATACACAAAAACCAAAATACAAAAGGACGAGGCGATCTTGTTAGTTTTTTTTCGAAAACTACTGCCAACGTAATAATTGAAGGAATAACTAAACTAATAAAACAGAAAATATCTGAGGAAATTAATCGAGCCAATTTTTTTACAATTCAAATTGATACCACGCAGGATATCAATGTAGTCGACCAGTGTTCCATTGTAGTTAGATACGTAAATAACCAAGTTCATGAGCGAGTTGTAAGCATTGTTAATTGTAAATCGGGCAAAGGTAAAGATATGCACGAACTTGTTTCAAATGAGTTAAACAAATTAAATATAGATATTACAAAGTGTATTGGGAACTCAACTGACGGTGCAGCTAACATGCAAGGCCAATATAAAGGATTCACTAAGTGGTTAACTGATGATGCACCCAAACAACTTCATGTATGGTGCTATGCACACGTATTAAATTTGGTTATATCGGATGTAACTCAGAAAACGAATGAATCTATTTCACTTTTTAGTCTATTGAACAAAGTTGCAGTATTCGTTCGTGAATCATATTTACGAATGAATTTTTGGAAAAATACGACAGAAGGTAAAAATATTAATTTCATAAGTACGTTAGGTGAGACAAGATGGTGGTCGAAAGAAAAATCGTTAAGGAAAGTTTTTGGATCTTTAAATGACTCTCAAAATTCAATATTTGTCCAAATATGTCAAACGTTGTTTAATATTTCGACATCAGAGAGTATGAATTCTGATACACGGTTTAATGCTAACGTGTACTTACAAATGTTAATAATAATTTGTAGACATTTTATATTTTATATTTAATAAAGGGTTGATAATTATTTATTGTTTAACCAATCTTTTAAGTTTTAAATTTTAATGAATGTAATAAATTCAATTTTGAAATAAAAATTGAGATTGGTGTCCTCCAGACCATTTTCTCTGTTTTAGTATGAATGTAAAATAATTTTACTTTGGTAGGGCCGGTAAAATTTTTCAGCCCGGGCCGATTTAAAGACTCAGTCCAACCCTGTCTCAGACTACAGTGGATCAGAATATTTGAAAGATAAACGCTTAAAAAGTAGTCAGTGTTCATGCGTGATTTATCAAATGTTTAATAATCATTTTTAAGAATTAATCATAGGTAAATTAAAAAAAGACGGCTTTTAATTGTATGCGATCATGGAATATAATATACTATGATGATTAATAAATAATTAGGTTCTCATTTTCAAGTTCACGTATAGAGTACTGTTTGATTTTAACAAAATTATTTTATAATCGATATTTTGGAAATTGGTAGACTGTTAAAATTGTTATCGAAGTAATTCCTATAAGATGTCACTCAGGTAAATATTATATTATTTAATTTTAGATTTTTAGTAACGTACTAACGTCATATGCGACTTCTAGTATTAGTTATCAAAAAAATAAATAAATTAAGAAATTTCATACCTACTAAAATACGGATTGTTATAATTTTAAACTTCGGTCCAATTAAATATATTTTTATATTTATAACGAAGAAACCAATGTTGATCTAATGTAAATTTTTAAAAGTTTGTGTTAGCTGTAAGTATAATATAATATAATTATTAGCATAGCAAATAATGAAGATGTTTAAAATGGCCTTGTCGGTTATTCAATTGTCTTATAAAACATGCATACATTAATTAATGTCAATTGGCAATTTTAAATCATTGAATTTTCTGAACACGAAATTCAACTACGACTGTAATCAATTTAAATTAGTTAAGATACATATTTTTACAATATTGAACGACGTCTTTACAATAAAATCGATTGTTTAAAATGTATAAAATATAACAGCTGTAAAGTACGATTCTTGCAACTCATAATAATATATTTTATAAATATTAGGTTGGTAATTATTTTAGATTTTTTTTGTTGTGTCTGTAAACACTTTAGGAAAGTAAAATAACTATAATTAAAATGTATAGGTACATAGTAAGAAGATCAGTTAAAATTATGAACACTAAATTATATTTTTTGCATTTAAGTTAATATCTTATATGCATTGATAAGTTTATAAAACCATTTAACATTTTAACGATTAAAACATGAGTCATGACTGGTGTATAGGTGTATATTATACATATCTACTTTGTAAATGTAATTAAACAGATAAACGGCAAAGCAAAGCAACTCTCTGAAATTAATTATCGTTTCAATATTAATTTTACTTCATGTCTTCACTCTCTACTTAGTTTTTTGCACATATTTCTTTTAATTTATGAAAATGTTCATTTTTATTAGCACTTCAATATTGTTTTAAATTATGTTAAATGTCGTACAAATTCAAATAATTTGAAATTATCTTGTAATTTTTTTTATATATCACCGTAGTATTATGTTGAATGGCTGAAGGTTGAAGTGTAAAAAAAGGTTTGTAAAATAATAACTGAAATTATCGTTTAAAACAATATGTTAAGTTCAATTTTCTTTTCAAACTTATTTATGTACATAATAATAATAGTTTTTATCATTTTAAAGGTTATTAAAAAAACAAAATTAAATATTATTTCATCAAAGTTATATTAAGTAAATAAATATACCAAAAACACAAATCTTTTTTATATGACGCATGCATCACAATATAATAATATAACTTAATTTTTGTCTCAAAGAATAAAAAAAATGTTTAAGTAATATCGTTATTAATATTATGAATACAAAAAAACCAACGGTGGAAACAAATTTAGTAGAGGTACGCTAATACTATATATATATATATATATAGGTTTCATAATTATCAACATTAATAATAATAATAAAATTAAAAAAAAAAATTTAAATAACAATATTATTAATGGAGCAATCAAAATCCCACTGGATCACAAATTATCGGGGAGATTTTTCAATAGTCTTAAATTAATTTTTTTATTTTTTTTTTGTTCAACCCCTTGACGGGCTTATAATATTATAGGAATAAAGGATTTGAAAAAACAAATTTAAATACGTAGTAGAGTTAACAAATTATCATAACCCATATTAGCGAAAAATCATCATCACACGATCCAGTTAATGTAGGTACTGCGATTGCGGTCTGTTGGACGACGTCGGTGGCACTTTCCTCAGTCTTAACACCTCGGCGTACGACTTCTCCAGTAGCTTGAGTTTGGCCACTTCCTGAGACGCGGCGCTGGCGTACGGCTGGACCGCGGCGGGCGACGATTCCGCGTCGTCCTTCGGGGCGGCGCACCACGTAGACCTGTGCGACGACGACGGCCTGTCGCCGCTGCCGCTCCTGGGCTGTCGGCGCGTCACCTGGTCGGTCCACTTGAAGTCCAACAAGTGGCTGATGTCCTTGGACTGTTGACTGGCCGCGGTCGACTTGCGGTGCCGGACGTGTTTCTTGTGCTTGACCGTGGACGCCAGCTCCTCGATGATGTCCCGACGGCGACGGCGTGGTTCCTGTTGCTGCTGCTGCTGCTGTTCCTGTTGCTGTTGGTGCTGTTGCTGTTGCTGCTGTTGCTGTTGGTGCTGTGGCTGCTGTTCGGCCGCGGTAGCCGGTGGTCGCTGCTGTTGGTCATCCACCCGTTGCCTTCGCTGTGCTGGCGGCGGCGTGGTCGGGCGCCGTTCGACCGTCTCCGACTCTATGGTCGACATCAACGGGTTGTGCTCGCAGGCCGGCGTGGCCGGTGGCACTCGCGGCGTCGCAGCCGTCGACGCGGACGAGCGGCCGCAGGTGGGCGTGTCGGTAGCGTCGTCGCCGTCGTCGCCCTCGTATCCGCGGTCGTCGTCCTGGAGCAGCGGCAGTTTCTCGCCCTCGTCCTTGGCCTCGGCCGCCCGTTTGAGTACGGCGAATATCTCACGGAAAAGTTGACGGTACTCGGGCGTCTTCCGGAACCGGCTCTCCACGGGGCTGGCGTCGTCGTAGATGCTGAACCGGCAGTCGTCGCCGTCCGAAATGGTGCACAGGAACGAACCGGTGAAGAACGTTTCGGTCTGCGTGCCCTTGTTGCTCGTCTCGTCCGAGAAGCCCGACGACGACGTCGTCTCTGCCTCGGAATACTTACACGCGGCCCCCCCGTCCCCGGTAGTTCCGGATCCGGGTGCCGCCCGTCCGCTGGTCGGTAGGCCGCCATCGTCGCTGCTGTCGTCGCTATCCGACGCGTTGCCATTGAACGACGAGAACTGCCCAGACATCTGTAGCTCTTCGTGCAACGATATGCCTCGGTTCTGGACGTCCTTATTGTTGCCCACGTTGTTGTTGTTGACGTTGGTCGACGGCACCATCGGCGTGAACGCGTTGTGCTTCTGTTGGATCTTCAACAGTGCCTCGTATTTGTCCACCAATATTCGGTAAGGATTGTCCTCTGAATAGTTCTCACCCAACGTCTCCTTCGCCGCGATAAAAACAAACAGTAAAAACACATTAGTAGATATGGTTCTATATATGGTCTATCACTTTTAAGGCGTATGTTCGGACCGCCTAGAATGATTTAAGTCAGTGGGTGTGGGGTAAAAATATTACTAGAATACCTGCGATGTATAAATATCGTAATAGGTTATCGACACAGTTTTATCATAATCCTATTATTTGCTTATTCATTTTCGTGGTTGTAACCCATTTACGCCAAATATGACCCAAACGCAATTAAAAAGCTCAAAAATAAATATAACATAAGCGCGTAAAAAAAAAAAAAAAATATCTTTTTAACAAACCATAAGCGCAAATAAATTTTACAAAAATAAAGTGTACTCTATTAAAATCATATAGTTATTAATAGTTATCTGATAATATACGATTTAAAATATTTCACTTGAATTTCCAACAATATGTTTCAATTAAAAATAAATCTTAAGTCATAAAATAATCTATATTGTTATAACGTATATCAACTATCAAGTCAAATACCATTTTTTATAATTTTAAAGTTTATACTGTATATATTGTGTAGTTATCTTAAATGATTATCAACCTTCACCGTAATTCGTTACAATAAAATACGATACGATAATACTAAACTTCAACTAAACTAGATCACTGTTGATGTATTTTTGAATTATAAAAATATTATATATTTAATTTAATTTAATAATTAATATTTTTTTAATGAAACTTTTAGTGAAACGGCCATCGGATACAATATTTATTTTTCTGCTTTTATTCCACTACTAAGGTACAAAAGCGCAAAATGAATTCGCGCTCTTGGTCTATCGAAAAAAATAGACGATTTGCGTTTTTGGATTTCACCGATTTCCAGCAGTAAAAATCGTATAGGTACATTATTGATTACATTATTGATTAGGTCATGAAGTTGACTTTATCATTAATCCACCTTTTAAATTGATCACGATGGTATTGAGCTTTGTTAAACGATCTCCTAATAACGAGTTGTGATTTATTAATTGGCGAGGGCATGGGTATAACTGTTTTTGGTTTTCTTTCGGCATACGAGTTTGAATATATATTTACCTATTGTAATATATACACTATGAGTCTATGACTATTAGCCTAAAATTGTCTAACACGTCGTGACCCGATTTAAAATGTCAAAGAGTCTGGATCTTAGAACCTCGATATAACACAATTATCGTCGTTAGGCGTTTTATTTCAGGCGAAATGCCAAATATTCTATTAAGATTTTACGTTTGAATTGTTCACGTTAGAAAATTAAAATGAGGAATGCATCATAATCGTTTACGGTTTATTCAAACGTATGTGGTTAATTTTTATTTTTAATTCGACTTCACGTTTATTATTATAACAATAAATGTTTTAGGTCTAAAGAACATTGTATTCAAAACTCAAACGCGACCATCTAAGCTGACCATATTAATATCACGGAATAAAACGCACATACATTCAAAGTCAGCAGTTATTGTGTAGGTACCAACTCGTAATTTAAAACGTTTATGTTTTACATTATGAACAACATGTCTTATAAGTTATAACAATGCACCCGTATCGGAGTATCACGTTTAATTCTTTTCAGTTTAAGAATAAAAACATACTTGTAACTGTTGCAAGACTTCGTGTTTGTGAGTTTCGACATATGATCCTATAGCACTAATATCATCGGTGTCATCATCGTCATCGTACACTGAATACTCGTCGAATAGGTTTGGGTCAGTACTACGCTGACAACGCCGACATAGGTTTCCTTGCCTAAAAGATAAATCAATTTTATAAAACATTGGGTACTCAAATAACATTTGAATCTATTGAAATGTGTCATGTGTGGATAGGTATATACAATAATGAATATGGCATACATTTGATACTAATATATAATTACATTTTTATTACATAAAGACTTGAAGAATGCTATACTATACTTAAGCTATACCTACTCTATGATTTAAAAAAATAAGTTCTTCTAGAATGTATTACATCTATAATTTATAATGTAAATACACAATAGTTTGTTTAAAACGGCAAACAAAAGTTGAAAATATAAAAATAAAAATAATAATAATATTTATGATTTGCACTAAACAGTGTTATAAATTGAGAAACTATTAATTGTTATTCATTTAGTATATTTTTTAATTTTTATCTATAAAATTTAAATTTGAATCTATACGACTATACCTATGGTACAGTTTAAGAGTTAGAATCGAATTATTTTTCTAGTAACTAGTATGTAATAAAACATAAATAATAACTAATAACTAGTTTATATTAAATAATCATTAAATTTCTTTCATCCAAAAGTTACCCGTAATGCGTAGGTAGGTATGATTGTTTATTTTTTATTTCCGTGTTGAACCCAGAAATATAGGTAGGTAAATCATTTTTCAAGGATAATCATTAATAAAGAACCGGTAGGTGAATACTGTACCGTCTGTACTTGCACCTATATTATTGTCGAAAACATTTTTTTATTATTTTGTAAATAAACCATTTTTATGTATTTACGAACTTTTCAATAGTAATTTATGTTATAAATCAAAATATTCAATTTTGTCTATGAACATTTTACATAAGTACCTACCTATATAGTCTTAAAATATTTTGTTATTCGATTTAATTTTAAATGTATTAATAGTTTTCGTTGACTATTATTTTATTCAATTGTATATATAACACACTGTGTCTGTTTTAATTTATCTGTTGACCCACCTAATTTCTTCTAAATAGACGATTTGATCTTGGAGCGTTTTCAGTTCTTCGTCTTTTTGTTGCATTACACTCACTTTTTCTTCTAGATTAGTGTTCTCCTATAAATAAAAAATTAAAAAATTGTAAAACCAATCTATTATAATTTAGTATGTAGTGTGTACAACGTATTTCTGTGATGATAGGTAAAATATAATATTGCAGTAACACGTTCATAATCTTTATATATTTATATTGTATTTATTATTAGTATTGTACTATTCCTTTCGCACGACTCATAGTTTTTACCTGTATAAGTAAAGACACGTTTTGTTCTAGTTCAGACACTTTTCTCTGTTCCTTGACTCTTAGATTTTTCGCATGCTCCAATTGTGAAGCAAGTTTAGCATATTCATCTTGATCTTCGATTACAGCTACTCCATTACCATTGCCTTCGCTGACTACGCTGTCGTCTTTTTTCAAATGACCCATGTCGTCGACCAGGTGCTGCAAATCTTCGCAGCGACTTTCCAAACTTTCGATTGTGTCGTATAAACTAAGTATGATAATAATATAATATAATACAATTGAATACCGATCGGTGTTTCATACAAATAAAATTATATTATGCAGAACGCAGATACATTACCTTTTTATTTGTTTTTTGTCATTTATGTTTTCTTGAACGAGCCTCTGGTTATTTCTCTCTAGATCCTGGATACTGATTTCCAGTTGCTCGTAAATACGTAGCCTGGAGTCGTTCACTTCTCTCAGAGCGGCCGTTTGTTTGGTAAGATACTGCCAACATATTAAACAGTCGGTTACGACCAGTTCATATAAATTCAAACCAATAGCTTGTTCGTTGGCCTTTTGAAAGTTTGGCCATTCGGTCAAATTTTCAATAGAATTCATTATGTGCACAAAACGTATATTGTACGTAACAAAATATTTTTTTTAAACCTTAAACACTGATATCGTTTCGATGCACGCGAGGATTAAGACTGATAAAATGCGCCCAGTGACTAACATGCCCGACCTCATGCCGAAAGGTCTCTGGCTGAGCATCCGTTACATCGTTGGAACATTGCCACAGCCCACAGCTATATAAAAATAATGCCTATGGCGTCTTTCAAAACCAGACGAAACACGATTATCGTTGATGATTTAAAATATTAACCAGAAGGTTTGAATTGTTATTTATTTTTTATTTCATCTATTTATTTGTATACACAAGTATACACAACGATTGCAGTACACTATAATTATTTTAAGTCACGTTTAATTAATTAGTAAATGTCAGCGGAAAAAACTCTGGTTTGAGCACCTGTTATTCGTTTGTAAAATTATTGCAAAATATAGAGAACTGATTGATCGATATACATAGCTCTTTTTCTAATGCTATACATATTAAATTTATATTATTAAGCGTTGCATATGGCAACAAAAATGAATGTTAAAATGCATAATTAACTGAAATGAAATATTATTATATGTCATGAACGAAATATGTTACATACAGGATGACAAGTCATTACAATCTATTTTTATTATCAACTAACACATATTATTATTGTAGCCAGACGTGGTCATAATTTGAACTTAGAGACAAAACGCATTCTTTGCGTGTTATGTGCGTATATGCGCTGTGAATAAGAAATAACCCGGGTATTGTCGTTTTTAGGTTACCTACTGTAAAAATGTAAAAGAAACACACGTTTTGAAATTTAAGATTTTTTCACATACCTATTATACATACTTAGTCCTTAAACTATGCATATTATTACGGTTTAATATTTAAATCATTTAATCTATTACCTCAATCTCTTGATTGCGATCTTCCACGACATTTTGTTGTTGTCTCAAGTTTGTTTCCAATTCTTTATTTCTCTCTAGCAGAGTTTTGCCTAGTTCAGCAGCTAGCTGTAAGTCTGCAACACCATATAATCGATTATAAGACGTAAGTTATGAAAGTAATCAATTTACACTATGTTACGTATAATAATAAATAATAATACACTTCATACATTTTTAGTGAACAATAATAACAAAGATTTATGTTTGAATTCAAGATTTCCACTTAGAAATCGAAGAATAATTATATTATTACGTCGAGTACTTACTACAACGCTTCTTTATTAACTTAAATGATTTGTCAAAGACCAAGATTTATTCTAATTATATCGATCGGTCGTGATCTTCGGGAGTAATCATCTCATCCGGTGTTTGTAATAGTGTAATATCTACATAAGAAGGTATTTCGAAAGCGTCGCAATTCCATAGAAGGAAGGTAAGAAGGTTCTTTGGCGAAACTTCGTGATCAAACGGAGAAAATAATTTTTTTTTGATTTTCGTTCCGATTTGGTTTTTACATTGAAAGCTTATTTAACTGGGTTGTTTATCAGGTTAACCTAGATTGTAATACAACTGAATACACGAATTGGTTTTCGTTAAAGCTATATAATATATTATAGCGAAGTTACGTACTCAGCTGGGTTGGTCTTGACAGTAATTCGTATTGCATAAAACGTTACTTTATTTATTTATTTCTTATTTTGTAGCTTTTTGATAATCATCAAAACCGTACAAAAAACATATTATAGGTATACATGTAGATATGTACACTTTCAACCAATTTATTATGACAAAAATAAATTTTTATATTTTATACATAAAACCTACATTGCAGTCGCAATCAGTTCTTTTGAAAGTTAGAAAGACATAAAGGTAGGTATTAAAGATTGAAATGAAATGATATTTAAGGTACCTATCTTATAATAACCACTTATATGGCCATACATTTATAAATGTATTATACCTATGTACCTATAGAATATATATATGAATATACATTTCACAGTTAATATATCATTAATATAGACTACACCATATTATTATGTCAATTTTTGAGTTCAAATACTATTTAATTTTCAATTAGTTATGAAAAGTTGTATAGTCTACTTGTTGGAATCAATGACTCGGAACACATTTTATAATTATCTAATTATTTAATCACTTATAGTTCCAATTTCATCGCATTATTTTAATTAAAAATTATTATTTAAATGCATGATAGAACAAAATATATCATATAATTTTCTATTCAAATTACACATTTTATACTATAATAAAATACGTCTATTGTAAGTGTATACCCATATCAATAAATGAGTAATAATTATATACAAGATTGATTTAATTTAAAATAAGATTTATGATGTGAATTGTACTTATATCAAGAGGTAACCAATTGATTGCACTTTTTTTTATTACTTATCATTAAAAATTGATTATTTACTAAACAAATTAGAACCAAAATAACTTTCTAAAAAAATTATATTTTCATCTATCAGCTTAAACCAATAATTATAATTTAAAATATAATATAGGTATGAGAATTAAATTATTTATTATGTTTAGGTATATTTTTGAAGATTATAATTTTTTTAGAGAAGAAAAGTTTATGATTGATTCATAAGAAACTGATAACATGTAATATATAATTAGTAAGCAAGTCTATAGAACAGTTATTTTAACATCATATTTTTTTTAATCATTCATTAATCATAATATTAATGTAAACACGTAATAAAAACACAAAAATAAGTTTTTTTTAAATTTAAAAAGGTAATAGGTATGTTAAATAAGTAATAAAATAATACTATAAGATCCAAACGATCTGATATATTTTGTCAAATGTGTTTAGTATAATGTTTATACCTTGTGGACCACGAAGACATTCCAACTCGATAGTATAATCCCAGCAGTCCAAAGAAGCTAAATCTGACGTAGAAGTAATATTTTTATCCATATTCGTGATTTTAATGCATATTTTTTTGCATAATAAACGTATTTCACTTCTTTATTTCAAATTATCCATAATTGTGAAATTAGGAATTATAAATGTGTGACCTGGGAAATGTATGCATATATAGGTATATGATATATAAATGTATAGCATTAAGTAGGTAGGTACATTAAGTAAAAAATCTCAAAGTTTTTGTTTTTCACGTCACGTTATGCATACTAATAAACAAATAATATTGTTACTCAACGAACAATAGACATTCAAAAATTGTTTAAAGAATAACTAATTATTATATCGACGGTGTTGTATATATGAAATATAGATACTTTTAATATTCTGAGGTCGGTACATATATTAACCCTAAAGTATAAATACATTAAAAGAAGTTTGATTGATTTGACTTGCTATTTGAATTAATGAATATTAAGTAAAAAATAAAATAAATTATGAAAATTTATGTCTCGAACATTACTCATTTTCAATTGTGAAAATGTCAACTACTGTGAGGAATTTTTGAGAAATATACGATTTTGAATATTTAGTTTAGTCTATTATTTAACTACATTCAATGTTCTTTTAAAGAAACAAAGAAAAATATAGTATTGTGTAATTTTAAACCTTTAATCAGTTTATAATTTTATACATAAACATTTTAATCATTTTATTTTTACATAATTTCTTAATGTACAGTATTTATCTTTTTAAATCAACGTAATGGTAGTTGTTCTAAAATTGAATAGCGTTTATTTTAATCGTTGTAGGAAAGTAAAACATACCATTTTGAGAATATTAATATTTAAATAAAGTTAACAAAATATAAGATAAAAATTAATTTGATAAAAAATAAATTTTAATTGTTATTTACATTTGTTGTATAGTAAACGGTTATCTATGAATAATTAAAATATGTAGATTGTCAATAGTCTACATCTATATTCTATGCAAATATTTATAAAAAAAAAAAATTAAGAATTAAAATATACTTATAATAATATACATATTATGCACAGAAAATTTGATTCAATAAAACACAGCGATAAAAATGGGCGGTGATTCGGTATAAATGACCTAATAACTAGTTAATCAACAAAAATTCGTTTTTTTTAACTCATACTATCAGGTCATACAAGTAAATCGTAATAATTTATTATTTTATTTTTGAAATCAATATATTAAGTTATTATTATTTTATTTTGAAAAATGATTCGATAACATTGAAATATTTTTTGGTTTAATTTTAGTGTAAGTCAGTACTGTTACAAATTTCTATATTTATCGACTAATTTTGTGTTTTATAAAATATTGTAATCGAATGTAAAATTAAGTTTAGAAAAACATATTTTGAATTTAGATACATTATTATTTATTATGCATTTATACTCGTAGATAAATATTTATTGCATAATAAAGAATAATATAAACGCTGATATAATTTCTATTAGATAAAGTCTATAAAAGGATGGAATATAAGCATTTAAATTTTAAATAGATAATAATTTATAAAGAGAAATTATAGGTAATTGATTGATTTATTTTTCAGCGAAGGAAAAGTAATGTTTTGTTATGACCGACCCCGTGTATATTATACCAAAACATGTGCATCACGAATGTATGACACTTGTAAATTAAAATATGTCAAACCTTTATGATACGTCCCATGTAAATACAGATCGTGTAATTGTACAAACATACAGTGTATAATGTACAAATACATGTTAATATTGTGTCTACTTATACGATCAAATGATTATTTGAAAGAATCATAGATACCACCTTCCTTTATACGATTATGTTTGAAGATAAACGAGTATAATAAATAATAATAATATATTCGGCAATTGGATAATGTTAAATTACGCATATAAAGGAGAAGTGCGCTAAAGATTAATCTGTGATATTCGATGTACCAACATGCGGTTGAAACATTATGATATAACAAGTCGTGGATATAATAGAGTAGACGATAATATGGTCATTTTATAGTTATTTCGTACTGAAAATAAGTAATGGCATTTTGATAGATCGATTTACTATTATAATACGTATATTTTCGTATAGAGTGATTTTTCCGTCGACAATGTTAAACTTATAAGTGTGGAGGCTTTGTTGATCAATCACCGTGTTACAGTTTACACCCCGGAAGAGCGGTTTCGACGAAAATCTCGAAATGCCCGCGAAAAAACCAACCACCCCCGCAAAGTTTGAATGTCGTAATGTCGTCGTATGCAATCGTGGCCCGAAAAACGTGAGGTCTCACAGCACGTGTTCAGAAAAACGTCATACCCTTTACGCATTTGATCCGAGCGAATAACGCGTCGTAACGTTGTACTTTACGACCTGTTCGGCGGCCGCGGGTCGAGGAGGAAAAATCGAAAAACGTATCTTATACCGGGCAGAAGCCTTTGCACGCCGCGCGTCGCGCACGGGAAACGTCACCGCGAAAGGTCGGCAAAAAAGAAAAAAATGAAAAAAGAAAAAAAGCGTGCGCACAATGTTTACGAGATTATGTCAACGATAGTACTGTAGTTTAGTGGAGCCGCACGGCAAGTGTGATGCGTTGTACGCAGTTGTCGCGTCGACCGCGGCGAATCATCGGTACAACCGTCGTCGTCTCGATATCGGTACCGCGAGTGTCGGGCGAACGGTCCGGCGTGCACGCGCCAAGAGACTGTTCCGCGGGAGAGCCCGGGCGAGCAGCTCTGGATCGGCAGTTCGTCGGCGGCGGCGGCGGCGGCGGCGCAGGTGTGCGTTGCGTATTAGGCGTACGGAGAGCCTGCTGGTACCTGTAGGCCGGCCGGCCGAGGGGACCGGAGCGCTGGAGTGGCCGAAGCTACTGCGTGCGGACGACCCGCAAACCGGTTGTTACCTGCACCGATCGACGTGGTCGCCGGGCGGCCGGCACACGGTCTCGGCGACTGGAATTTTTCGTCGATCGCATTCCGCGGCGGCACCGTCGTAGTAATCGTCGGTCGTCGTCGTCGTGACGCAGTAATAACAACTAACAACAATATTGTGTTATAACCATGATACGAGAGCTATTAGTACGTCGTGTCGCGCTCTGTACGCGTACGCGCCATGCTGCATTTCGACACGTTTCAAAACAGACGAAAATTTAATACACACACCCATACCGTGTATTAATAATATTATAATTAATAGGTGTAACAATAAAAATGTACGATTAAAAATTGGAAATTACGCCATCCACTTTATCTATCTGTATTGCGATGCTAGAAAATTCCTAAATATTCCATTACTAACGAATTTATCATAATATGATGATGATCTGTGTTGCTATATTATGCCACTGTCGCAACTCGCAGTGTATTCTACAGTGTGATGACATGAATACTCCGAGTGGTTTGCTATAGTGAGCAATAGATATTCCCCGGAGAGCTCAATAGAGTGCGATTAAAATAATTTTGAACAAACCCGGGACATATTCTACTAGTAAAGTATCCTTCGAAGAATTCAAAGTTTTCACTGTATAACAAATTATCTCATAGACATTTATTTAACTTATTCGTATATTATAGTAGGTACTTTTCAAAAAGATAGTTTAAATATTCCTACTAACCGAACATTAAAATCTAGCCAATCTCTTTCACAGGTAAGTTTAAGCTTATTAAATTAAGTTCCAATTCAAATTATTAAATACAATTTATTAAGATAATAATATAGTAGATTAATAGTCTAAATAACTTAAAGTTTCCGTAACATGTAATGTGGACCCGATTGTATAAATATTGTTAATTGTATTTTTTTTCTTTATTTTTTTTATTATATTTCGAAATAATATAATACATATTATTAAGTAATTTACAAAAATGTTTAATTTGTTTTTGTTAGTACTCCAACTTCACCGATAAGATTTCCTCAGTGATGGTTTCGACCATTTTATTGTACTTATTAATGTGATCATTTAGATGATTGATAATAATAAATCATTATTATTATCTACTCTTAAATAAAACAATATATAACCTATACTTAAAAACAAAACAAATAATTGGATTGAAGTTTTTCAATTTGCATTCATAAAATATACTGTCTCTCTATTCTAAATTTGCCCTCTGAGAAAGTTATTTAAACAATAATGTAACGACGTTAAAATTTATAAACTATAAGATAATACCGTAATGGAAAATTTTGGTCTTAACTCTTAATATTATATCATGTAAGTTACGGTCCGATAATTATTTTAGTATAATATGTTAATATCAAGTCTTAGTTCTCTCCTTTCAGATAGATAATCATCATTATAAATATCATATCTAATATCTATAGATACTTCCAATACCCCCTGAATTAAATAACTGAAATATTATGTTTCAAAACCAGCCTTTCTCAAACAACTTAACGGCTTATTTAATATTTGTAAGTTTTAGAGTTAAAATGGCTTAGAGGCTAAAAAATGTACACTAATACTAAATGTGAATGTCAACAATTAAAATGAAAACAAAACAATTCATTTTTAATTCGTAAGTTAATTTGTAGGTAAATATTTTCCAACGTTTAATTAAAAATAAATTTATATCTACACTTGAACTATGTTGAGGTCATTTGTTTTAGTACTATTTTGATAATAATTTTTTTTTTATTTATTAACTATTACACTGCCTTTCATGAACACCTAGGTAAATTAAATGTCATTGCATATATTTACAAAAAATATATAAAAAATGTGTATATTTTTTTAGAAATGATAATTATTAGTAAAAATCTTCTGTTTGAAAGAATCGAACACGAAAAAAATATACATATTATCTCACATTCACGCTGTATACACTTCCGAGGTCCATTCATCGTAATAATATCTCGCGGTCATGTTTGCCGTTAATTGGCTATGCATTAACTGGGCCGCGGGGAAGGGGGAATCTGCCGTGACGCACTTGGGTCCTCGGACGTTACGAAATCGTCTGTAGAGTACATTATAGGTAGTAAGTACGTATATATATTTATGTATATTATACCAGCGGCATGTGTCTCGATTTTCAAGAAAGCTATACGAAATAATATAATAATAAATATTATTGTAAATAATTACGTTTAAAGTACTATGAACTCTCATTTAGCTATACTTGAATGGTGCTTCGACACGTAGACACGTAGAGTTAAACGTACCTATAGAGAGGTAGTTAATATTATTATTATTAACTATATAATAAAATATTTCTGTTATAGGTGAATATGGCTGCGTAGTACCTACATGATGTGGAAGACATAGGATTTGCACGTTTTACTTTTTGTCATATCAGTTATTCATCTATAACTAAATATATACCTAGATATATTTACATATTGCATATTTTATCTATATGACCGTTAAAATAAATATAATTATGTCTTTTTTTTTATATCTTTTTTAAATAATCATTAGGTATGTTTTTTTCTACAACTTGTTTCGTCTGAAAACACAAAAAACCGACTTGATATGAAATAATTTATCATAACTGTCGCAGAATTACAAGAAAACCAGTATGCAGTACTACATATGTATTATATAATGTTGTATTATATTTTGTTAATTGCTAACGCACCAGTCATCAGGTTTTAAATTTTCTAAAATTTAAAAAAAATTATTAAAAGAAATAAAATTATGAATATTATATAATATAAACGTTTCAAATTTCTATTATTAAATGTAACATTAAAGTTTTGATTTTAATCATAACTTTACTTTAGGTATTTGTGTATAATTATTAATGTATACATTATCACGAAACAATTTGACATTGTCAAGTGTCAACCATTTTGTATTTTATTTTCATAATACAAAGCCAGAACGAGTAAATAGTTGAAAAATTAACTAAACTTTATACAGCTGATAGTTCAAATTATTTTGACGTTATTGACAGTACAAATACAAACAGATGGAACAGAATAATAAAATAATAAATTTATAGTTTTTAAAACTACCGTTCTTAGAATATTATATTAGTTCTATATTTCAGTTAAGGTGTTTATAGGTATTTATTTCAAGTATTATTGAGGTGGATAATATTTCATTTGAAAACATTCTAAATATATCCATCGCTATGCAAATTAGAATCACCTCAAGTTTTCCATAGCCATTATTGAAACCTATTCAGTTGTAATATTTCGGAAATATCGGGTATACTTATACTTGTTCACATGTATGTTCTTTAATAATTAACGTCTAGCATGTTTTAATATTCTAATTTCTAATATTTACTATACTTTATTAGATTATCATTAAACATTATTCATTTGAATTAACATCAATCATGATTAGTCGTAACTAATAAATATGTAATAAATATTATAAATTGAAAACGTAGGATACAAACTATATTTTTTAAACTTATTACGTTTCATTGTTACACATATACACGCATATATGTAGTGCATTCTGTGAAGCATTCTAACTTAAAATTAGACGTTTTTGTTTTATTTAGGCCGTGAGATACTAATTATAATACATATATGTGTATAGTGATACAGTGTTATGAATATTTAAACCTTAAGCCTGAATGATACTTAAATACATATAAACACAAATTAAAGGGTGCAGCTGAATGAAATTTAAAATATTTAACACCATATGGTACTGTGGAGATTATTATGTTTTAGAAATAGAGCATACATAGGCGTGGTTAGTATATTTTATACTTATGGCTTTTGTGTATAAGATAGATTTTTCTAGTGAAATTTCAACACTATAAATGTCAAATAAACACATATACCTATCATATATTATGTCATCAAAGACATAGATAATATTGAACAATTTATAGTATGTTATCAAGTAAATGTGTGTATACAATTAAAAATATACTACGCATATTATTTCAGATAAAATAAATACACACGTATATAATATAAATGTATGTTTTGAGAAAATTAAAATTTTTAGGCCTGGCCATCAAGCATTAAACATGCCTATGTCTACATAAAATTATTACTCATCATCAGATATTATTAAATAATTATACAACATGCCTACCTATTTATAGTAGAAATTAAAGCTACGAGTCGAATAATAATACCTAATTATTGATTAATCAAAAATAATAATATATAATATTATAAAGTAGCTTACTAATTAGTTTATAAGTTATAGACTATATGTATATAAAATAACTAAGTATAAAATGTAATCACTACTAATATACTTTCTATATAACTATATTAATCGTGTGTGTAAATTAGTTAGAATTATTAATGTTTAAGTGAAGGGTTGATAATTTTTAAAAAGTTGTATTTATTAACATAGTAAATAAATATAAAATAATTTAGATTATTTATTTGTAGATTTGTAGGTATACTTAGTGGTTACCGATAAGAAATTAATTCTAATGACGGGATTCTTTGATATATTAACATATGATTTGTTTGAAATTAATTAATGATTAATAAAAGACTTGTTAAAGCATAAAATTAATATAAATATTAAATAAGTAACATTTTTGAAAAACGCTATACCAGTAAGGCATAAATACGGTTACAATATTTATCAAAAATTATCTCTTTTTTCTTGTTTATAAAATGCTAAAATTAAATCGATCATGGTGAATAAAACTTGGTTACTTCTATTTAGACAAATTTATAATAATTTAATAGCTAGTTGATTATTAAATCTTGAACAGAAAACGACATTAATAAATTAATTTCACATATTAAAATTATAGTTAAATGTTTTTTTTAACCGTAATATTAATCCGGAAATGTACATTCTTATTTTATATTTTTCACTTCCTATTACCAAACAATGATGCAGGTAACCCTATAATGTACATTCGTTTTTTTATAATTTTATCACGTGTAAAGATGTATTGAAGATTGTTACGGTGGGATTTATATTTACTTAACAAATGGACAGTTGGTATTTTAAATTCTGTAGTATGCCATTTTACATGTCAATTACAAT